CATCAATAAAATTATTTATAATAATTCGCAGCAATGACAACATATTTTAAAACTAGTGTGGTCAAAATGTTTAAAACATCTGTTTCGAATTTGCTATTTTATTCAAAAACAATTTGAAGAGAAAACGTAAATAATTACTTTATTACCGGACTAGTCGAGACACGCTTATATAGTCATGATTTTGCTAACTGCAAAAATAAATGACGGATAAGTAGTAAAACATGGTCCAAGTGAGCATTTAACCTTGCAGCCTGGAGATCACCCATGTATTTTGAGTGCATGTTGTCCGACTGTGAATAGATTCGGCTGCATTTTACATGGTTTTACGTAGATAGTGTGAGAATGGATGATTGAGGTCCGTTGGGGGTTTTGTTTGAGTGGGTCACCATGCGACCGTCGCTATAATTGAAGTCGATTCACATCCGCCTCATGGCATTGCTGCTAAGCAGATATAAGTGGCTTCGTATTGGGAAAGCACGCAATGCGTAGTCTGCCACCAGGTCTTGTATCACTGTCGACAAAATTTTGCAGGAATGGGGTAAACCCGAACGACGCAGCTTTTACAACAGGAAATTCTTAGTTCCGTTGTCGCGTAAGCAGCCTGTGATAATTGACGAGGCCTAAGTGAGTGATTGGACACCATACATTCAGGACCAAGGTCCTTGGTTATGGATGGTTTTAGTTTTGTTGTTGTAATCATTCGTTGTAGAGGTTTCTTGTAGTCTCGTCAGAGCTGCACAAATCCACTAAATATGTTTACCCAAATCAAATGGATCACTTGTACTAGTTCACGTTAGAACTGAGCTTGGGAGAACCATTAGGATTTCAGTTTGTCTTGATAGGTTCCTTTGATTCCACACCCACTGGCGAAGTGGTGTTCATTAGTATTTCCTAATGGTGTCCACAGATCTGTTGGAAGTACTTAAATAAAGAGAGCAGCAGAGACCAACAAGGAAACATGTGATATGTAGCGTAAATGTTAACCTAATATAATTTTGCCAGCTGATAAAATGGTAAGTAGGCAGTAAAAAGAAAGCTTTCGCATACGGTGATTAGCGACCATCAAAGGAAGCAATGCACGTGCAGCCTATTTTAGATCTATGTAGAGATCTACGTAGAGAATTAGGAAGACGAAGAAGCAAGCATTTTTAGAACAGTTATTAAGATATAGGAGCCAGAAAACTGCGCAAATATAGGTGCAGTATTTTCTCCAGGATGAAGCGTAGATGGTTTCAGGTAACCGGTGTTAGTAATATGGAGACATGTAAACTCGGCAATTTGCCTGATAAAGAAAGGGGCAATAAAAACGAATGATAGCAGAACGATGGTATCCAAACACAGAATTCATAGTTGAGTACTTAAACGAAAAACGACAGAAAATATGTTGCAAATCTACAAATATGTAGGTGTTTATATATTATTAGTCTTAACGCACAGAAGAAGTATACGCAAAATTCAGAATGGGGTAATATAATATGGTATGCCGTGCTTCATTTGTCACGGAAAGACAGGGTACCTAGCGTGTATTCTTGCAGGGAGGCATAGATACAGAACGAAAGGGCATGTAATGACATGGAGAAAGAGAGTCACCTGGGTTTTCAATAGCCAAAGTTGTGGTACGTTTGCCGCAAACCGTGTTTTCACACGTCTACCTTCTTATATCAATCATTAAATAGGAGACGATTTTTGGACAATAGGGACCAAAATCCGCAGGCAAACAACAAGTAGTGCTGGTGAAGTGTGAATTGAACAATTATTTCAGAAACTAAGCTTACGATGGGATGGAATTATATACATATAAATGAGAGGAAAAATCTAACTTTGAAAGAATAATGCAACGGTTAAAGTGTTCAAAACAAAGAATTATATTTTGTGGACTTGACTTTCATTAGGTACAGGTAGTGCAGCTCAGATTATTTTGTGCTAGGCAGAGGCCGTCGAATGGTATGTGGTTCATTTGATAACCGCAAAAGGTTTCAAGTGAAATTAACTCATATAATTAATAATCCAGCTATGCAGTTAAACAAGTATTTGGTCACATGTTCATTGCTTGTACGCACCGCACGATCACCACTTACAATAATGGAGCGCTTCACTTTTGCTGCGGACGGCAAGCGTGGCTGGGTGCATTAAAATCTTAAGAAAAATGATTAGGCCTATTTTCCTGAGCTAAGATTGACTGCTGCTAACGTCCTGAGGACCTGCATTTATCCTGGTGACCAGATATAAGTGGATGCCTAATTTTGAGTTAAGATGAGAACAGCCGAATTTGGTGCGCGTTTGCTGTACATACATGCCTTATTCCACTTAGGCTTGTGTACCGGCGTGTAGAATTTAAACGTCCATACGAACCAACACTCTGCATGCAAAGCTGATGTTTTTCCTGATGCTGGACGCATTCAGGCCAAACCAGTAGCAGTCAAATACAACAAGTATGCCGGTAAAGCTCAGCAAATGACGTTGGAGCTCAAGCGGCTATGCGCGCATATCAACTAACAGAGCAAAAATAAGAACATTAACTCTGAGTTCACTGCTTATAAAATGCCTAATACAGGCGACGTTATACCAAGTAATACGTTATTAATTTCAGGTTTCATTAAGTTACCTGCATTATTTCTTTTGCACATACAGGTAGTTGACAGTGATGTGAACAAATCCAAACGGCTCAAGTTTCTTGAGCAGCCTAAATGTCTACATACGATCAATTAATTCAGCTATTTGGTTAGCTGATCATAATTTGCCCGGGAAAACAGCTATCACTTTTAAGACTAAGCCATTACATACAAGAAAAGAAGATTTCATGAAGGCATACATTCAGATGGCCTTCAAAGATAAGTTCGTTGAAATAGGCATAGCGACACTAGGTCAGAAAAAGCAGCTTGCGTAAAGGATTGAGTCTCATGTAGCTATTAGGTATCAGCACTCATATGGAATTTTTCCCTAAGCCATTATTTACAATAAGCTGCAAATAATACATAGACCCGTAATGCATTACAAGCGCGGCATTCAGCTTCACGTTTCACCAAATTAATAGAGCTTAGTTCGTTTTCATAGAAATCGAAGCCTCAGTCTGAGGTAAGTGACAGATGATAGGCTGATATATAACGAAGTGCAGTTCAGATGGATCATCCCTGCTTGACTTTAAGGGATCCTATCATTATATACATGAAACATCTACGAGGTCATTACAGATGCCTCCACCTGGACACCCATTCAACAAGAATCATTAAATTATTCCATACCTCGCAACCCTGAGATATTAAACGAATGCTGAATGCAAATAGATGAAATACATGCCACTTGCGTCGTCAAGGTCCAACAGCTCCAGTGAATACCTGCTGGTCGAAGCAAAGGAATTAAACCACATGTGGAACGGAAACAACATGGCAAAAAAGGCTTGCGAATAATCGTGATTACGATCAGCCATACGAAATCACCGCCAAGGTCATATAACCGGTCGGCTTTGATGAATTCCAGGTGGTAAAGTGCAGGAAAATTGACACCATAAGCGCAACGTTTTATATATGTGATGAAAATTTCAAAGGAAATGTCGGACGATTACGAGATAAAGGTTAAGCATTTTGTGACAATGCTTATGCATATTGATGCCGTTAGTCGTCTGATGCGTGATTTTCTGTGTAGCATTTAGTATTTCTTTTATTTGTGCTAGAGGGTTTACCACGGCATCCGTGTGCAACCGAAATGAAAGGTACGTTGCGGATTCTTGTTGACAAATCTCGCGCCTAAACTGGTGACCAGCTGCCAGGGCAACCGTTATACGTTTGCTTGCGTATTTCCCGTTGCGGGTTTTCCGATTTAGGGTTTGTGCAGCTGGAGTGCCAATCCCAGCTGTACTACCACTAAGGCAGTAATGTCAACAAAAATGGACGCATTACGTTCCACGAAAGAGTACATCTACCCCGGGAAATTGGTCTGCTGCATCAACCGCGAGGAAGTCACATATTTCAGGTTCATGGCCCAAAATCATTAGGCGCAGAATAACTACCTTCACTACCCGGACCAGAAAGCAGACTTGCTCATGCTTTTTTACTTATTTTTAATTATTATGAACATATATGTAGCTCATTTTTATCTTTGTTGCTAACTTATATTTAACTTTAACCGCATACTCTCAATTCTGCGCAGAGACCTGGCTTGTTTCACCTAGAACATTGCTCTCTAAGGCTCTGGTCTATAAATTAAATATTAAAGCTCAGCAGTTCCATTGTTCTATTCTGCTTACATTCCTAATATTCAGAATTACCTGATCGGTTATCCGTATGTTCCATTTATCGGGGATCCCGTTCGTTATGATTTTATTATAACCAATTTTGCATAACAGTTTGTGAATCGCCAGTAAAGTTTCTTTTTCATTAACTTCATATTCATTCTGCCTATCTCAAGCGTTTTTCCTGTCTGTGTGGTCAGCTGCATCTAGTCCTTTATTTTATCACCAAGAGCCATCCCAACACTGATAATCGGGGAACCACAATACCTCCGCGACTATTGTATCACAAGTGTCCGTAATAATAGATTTACCTAGCACAATGCTTTCACACATTTTGTAGCAGAGATGCACGAAAAACCGACATCACAAGTCTGTAACCTTTCCACTGTAATCAACTTATCTACCGGTTTCTGCAACTGACGATATATAATAAAGCGCCAAATTATAAGCAAAGTCTTTGTGGATTAACAGGTCCATTTAAAATAACCCCATGCACTATATTTACTCCAGGGGATGCATTAGTACTCTACAACCCAGCAAAAAATCAGAGAATTGTTTTCGTTGCGCTTTCTCCTAACGAAACAAACGCTTTTGCAATGGTACTTAGCTTTTAGAAAACTTGGTAGACGACCGATTAATGTATTTATGATAATAGACATGGTTTGCCGTCACCAGAAAATAATTCCATGGTACTCCTTTCTAAACCAGCGGCCACGAGATCACCGGAAGCAGAGCACACCACGCTGTGAACCATCGGTGGGTTGACAATAACTCAGAAGCTCCAAGCCTCGGCTGCGGAGGAAGAGGTGACCCGGGCCAAGCTAGGTTTATGCGAGTCGTCAGCTTGGGAATTCACATCAGAACCGGAAGTCATCTGCCCATCCGTCTCACCAGAGGGTGCTTGGAATTGTGGAAGCCAGCTACAGTCACATTCGGTATTGCACTCATGAGCAACAGACGAAGCAGGAAGCGAACTCTCCTCATCAGAACTATCATTATCAGTCTCGTTCAGTGTACCATAAAGTAAATCCGCATATTCGATGCTGCTGGCGTAAGAATCAGAGCCGCCGCTACAAGGATCTTGCTTATATCGAGAAATAATCCTTTATCCAAGCCAAAGCTAACGAACTGATTACGATTAATAGAAACTAAAGCCAATCTTAGAGAATTAATATAATTTGCAAGAAATGAAATGCACCTGTTTTGACTGCGAGTCGAATTTTACCTTCTTTACTTCTGTGGCATCAGCTGAAACATTGAAACATATGCGCATTCTTCACTGCGGCTAAACTTTAGTTGACTTTTAAGTTTTTCGCATCGCGTGATTCAAGTGAAGACAAACTGAATAACCCGCTTCGACAGCGAAGTTTGTGTGCCGTTAGGTATTAAATTCTGCTCAAAAAAGTTCCGAATTTTTCTAAAAGAATATCAACCTACCGGTAAATATTATCAAGAACAATTAATATTTTCTGACCGTCCTATCATGATATGCTGATAACAATGCCACATTGCTTGTTCAACGTATGATACGCGAGACTTTCGATGGAAATAATTTGTAAAATTATTGAATACAAACCACCATGTGATGTGGATATTTTTAATGCGCTGATGACGAATGTTGAAGTATTTTGTTGTCAAAATTTCAAAACATCATTTTAGAAGTTGCTATATAATTTAAAACAATGTGAAGTAAATATGTCAATAAGTATTTATTAACGAGCAAGGCAAAACAAGCCAATATAGTCATGATCTTTGTAAAGTTAAAAGTAAATGACTGGGAAAGATGAAACTTGCTCTACGTGATTTACGGTTATAGCAGCTGTGCGATCAAACATGCATTTTGAGTGTATCTGTTCAGCTATTATTCACAATTTGAATACGTGCTGCTGCACTTTTACTGGTTCAAGTAAATAATGTGAGAAGAGATGGCTGACGTCCGTTGTAGGGTTTTGTTTGGATGGATAACCATGGCACCGCAGATATAGTTTACGACGATTCACATCCGCCTCAACGCATTGCTGCTAAAATTATGGTAGTGGCTTCGTATCGGGATAGCACTTGCAATGCGTTGTCTAACACCGCTTCTTGGAACACTTTTGGCAAACATTTGCAAAAATGGATTAGAACCGAACAACGCAGCTGTTCCAAAGGGAAAGTCATATTTGCGTTGTCCGTTAACAAGACTGTGATGACTGACAAGACACAAGTGAGTGATTGGACGCTTTACACTCAGGATCACAAGTCCTTTTGTTATGGATAGTTTAAGCCAGTTGCTAGAATCATTTGTTTCTTCGGTTTCCTTGTTCAGGGCCGCACCAAACGCCTTAGTATATGTACTCCGATCAACTTGCCCAGTGGTAGTAGATCAGGTAGGAGGTGAGTTTTGCGATTTCCAATATGATTCCAGTTGTTTTGGTTGGTTCCTATGATTCCACCCGCAATGACGACGTGGTGTTCTTTGGTAATTTCCGCTGGTGTCCCCGCACCTCTTGGAATGGAAGATAGAAAGACCCCAGCACAGACCAACAAGGACACTTGTAACATCATGCAGCGTGATTTTGAACCACATATATCTTTCAAGTAATAAATTGGTAACGGAGGAGCCAATAGAAATATGATGCATAGTGTGATTAGCGGCCATGTAAGGACGCGTCGGGAGTGTAGGCTGTTATACAACTAAGCGTAATCATCAGCGGATAAATGCAGACAAACGATATGGCCTGGAAAGTCAGTGAGAAACAGCCATAACCAGCTTAGCAATCTCGGATTACGTGTTGGTTCCGCCGTGAACCAGGCCTTCAGGCGTCTACCTTCCAAAACCGACATTCGAATAGACAAATTTTAGTAAATAAGAGCCACGATTCGCAGGCAAACAACAAGTAGTCCAAGTGAGATGTACTTTGGATAAATAGATCCAAAATATAACCGTATAATGGGAATTGAATTGGAAACATAGAATTGAGAAGAAACTGTCCAAGATGAAGTAGAATAAGGGGACGGTTGAAGTGTTAAACACTACAAATTATACCACAATCACTGAGCTTCTATCAGGAACAAGCAATACAGCTCAGACGCTATTCGACTTGGCAAATACTGCCAAATGGTATGCGGTTCATTTGAGAATCGCACTTGGTGGCAACAGGAATCAGTTCAGGTAATTGGTAAACCAAATATCCTGTTTAAAAATTGAGTAAATCACTTGTTCGTTGTTCACATACACCTCAAGAAGGAAACTTTTCACTAGGAAAGGCAAGCTTGGCTGTGTGCTTTAAAATATTAAGCAAAATGATAAGGCCCATTTGCTTTACATGAGGTGGATGGCTATTAAATTCCTGAGGACCTACATCTATCCTGGTGACCATATATAAGAGGATGCCAAACTTTGATTTGATATTGGAACAGCAGATTATATGCCAAGGTTGTTGTACTTACATCGCTTTTTCCACTGATGTGCGTAGTGCCGTGTAGAAGTTAACGGTCATTAGAAACTAACACTCTGCTTGGAAAGCTAAAGCTTCCCGCTATACTGAAAGCGTTCAGGCCAAATATAGTAAGTATAACGCTGAAGGGCAGCGAATAAAGTTCAAGCTCCAAGATGACGTACGCGCATATAACTTAACTGTGCAATTTTAATATCCGCCTCTGTGAGACCAATGCTTGGACAATGCCACACACAGACGGCATTATAGTAAATAATACGTTACTAAGTGCAGCTTTACGTAATGGAACAGCAATATTTCTTTTAATGATACAAGTGGTTGACGGTAGTACGAAGAAGTCTAAGTTTAAACGTCCAAGTTTATTGATCAGCTTTAATGTCTACATAATATCAGTCAATTCAGCGTTTTGGTAAGCGGATTCTAATGTGCCCGCAGACAACAACCACCACTTAAATACCAAACAATTTTATAAAAGAACAGAAGACTTCATGAGGGCTAACAATCTGATTAGTTTTATAGAGAAGATTATAGAAGGAGGTATAGAATCTATAGGTCAGGAAAACCAGTTTGGAATAAGTACGGAGCCTCATATCGCTTTTACGGAGCAGCGCTCATATATAAGTATTTAAGAAGTCACTACTATCAACTGACTTTAACAATACATAGAACCTTATTACCTTAAAAGCTCAGCATTATGCTAACACTTTTAGGAAATTTAGTACAGTTCCGTGAGTATTCGTGGAATTTAAATCTACACTTTGAGTGAAATGGGCAGGACTTAGGTTGATGTATGAAGAATTGCAGGCCAGATCCATTCGCGCCGCTAAACATTAAGAGACCCTATCATTATCCACATGAACCAACTTCCAGGTCATTTTGGCGGCCACCACCTGACCACGCATTAAACAGTTAGCATTAAATTATTCCATACTTCGCAATCCTGATACACCAAATGAATGCTGAAAGCACATTAATGAAACGCATATCACCTGAGCATACAAAATTCAACAGCAGCAATGAATCGCGGTCGACTCAGAAGAGGGAAACCACACAATAAACGGAACAAATTGGCGAAACATTATTGAGAATACGCACGAGTACGATCAGCCAACTGACAACGCAGCCAATGTCACATTACCAGTCGGCAGTGTTTTAGGCCTTGGTAAATTTGCGCCTGGCAATCGTATTGCTTATATTTGCTAATAAAATACGTTAACGAATGCTGTGACTTAGCAGACGTGACTCACTAAGCAATAAAGGCACTGCTCTCTACCATACGCTGGAATATTGACCGGCACCATGTTTCGCAAATTCTGTGCGTGCATCCGCACTCATCCAAATATACGTGCATTGTTGATCAGTAACATACCACGATTATTAATACGTTTCTGTGGGCTGGTCATTTTACTTCAATCTTCTTAGCCCCAGTGGGTACACAATCGCATCAGACAAGTTCCAAAACAATACAAAAATCTTCTCGGTAATTATTCCCGTACAGCTCTTACTCTGAGAAACAATTTTCCTATGCAATTCTGAATATACATGAAGAGGAGTGCCTCGATACGCTCGAAAATAAACTTCATCTAATCGCAGGGTCACATTGTCTTACATTACTGATGACATCGGTTTTAGTTGTGCCCTAGTATTTTTCTTGACAATATTAGGTACAACAATGCATTATCACTGATTATGCTCAATATGTTTGCCTTGCATTGTTTAGTTCTTTATTACCAGGCGGTCAAATGATGCCAAGATTCAGCATATGCTGCAACTAAGCAAGCACCCGAATCATGCGAAATCAGTCGTAATTGAGTGGTATTAGGTGCAAAATATATAACATTACCTGCCTGCTAATTAGCTTGAAGACTGAAATATATTCGAAAACTTGTAAACGTACTCTTTGAATGCGCCTTAATGAGACAAGTACACTCGGAGTTCTAATAATCTGATCGGCGTATCTTCACCCTGATTAAGATGAGGTAATAGGTTGTCACCAATTTTCTTTCAGCGTTTGGGTACTCCAGGACATGAGTCACAAGAAATATTGAAAACCTTGGCGCAACATTACAAATCTGCCAAGCAAATGTCCAAGGAAATGTTGGACAATTCCGAGTTCAATGTTAATAGTTTTGTGACCATGCCTATGTACATTGATGCTGTTAGCCGCTTGATTTCAAGAAAAGCATTTAGTATTTGCCTTTATTTCGTTAGAATGCTTACCGAAGCATTGCTTTGGCAGTGATTGCATCATAATGGTGTATAACATTTCGCAGAAGGGTGCCCATACCAAGGGATACTGGTCTTCGTCTTCAACCGCGACGGCGACGCATGCCCGAGTTTCGTATCCAATCATATTTAATTTATAATACCTATTTTCGTGTGCGGACATAAGCGCAGCTCGTCGTCATCTGTTGTCATTTACTAGCAATTATCAAGAACACACATGTATCTCATCTCGAACCTACGTTTACGTTATATTTCACTTTAGCAACATACAATCAATTCGGAACAAAAACATAGCTTGTTTCACACTGAGTACTGTCTCTCTAAGTCTATCATATATGAATTAATTATCAAGGTTCAAAAAATCCATTGTTTTCTTCCACCAACCTCAATATTATTCAGACCGAGGGCATTTGTCCGTTTCGTACATTTAACTGGGACCCCGGATATTAAAACGCTTTCGCCAAATGTTTAATAAAAGCAATAGTGCAAAATAGTTTGTGGATCGTCAGTTCAGTTTCCTTTTTCATAAACGTCATATTTATTCTGCCCATCACATACACTTTCGCCTGTCTATATGTTCACCTGCATCGTGATCATTGCCTGCTTTGCCTTGGCTTCAGTCGACATCTCGACTTTTACTGCAGTGCCTAAACGATGACTACAGTTAATGGAAACACATATATCCTCATCTATCACATTACTAGCCTCCGTGAGGCAAAGAGATCCTTCATTTATATATGGATTGGAGTGTAAATTTTGAAGTTATACTTGCCGTTCAGGATGGATTAATTGTCCGCGACGTGTGAAAATTGTCACAGCATAAAATTACACATATCACCTGAAGGTGCCCAATTTATTTCGATGCATATTCTATACGGTTACGGATAACAGATTTCCCTATACGCCTTAAAATATCTGACAGGGTAAAGTCAGCTTTGTGCATAAATGTGTCTTTGCTCATATTGCTGCTGTATAAGTATAATCGCTAATACACTGCATTTTACCTAACTAGAATTTCACTGAAAATTTCATTAGTCGCATAGGCGATTAGTTTATAAAACGTATTAACAAATTTGTTGCATCAAACATCAATAACCTGGAACCCACCTCAATGCTTATAAGTTCTAGTATCGCATAAAACTGTAAACTATAATTCAATAAATTTTAATTCCGTTTTACGCTCTGTTCTACTTATTGCCATCTTTCATCAGTGTACATTTACCCATGACTCTTCTCGCCTTGTATACTAGACATTTAATATATTTTTTATTAACCACTTCAACTGAGCGTTGGAAACCACGCCAAATCGTTCGGCATAAGTGACGTCATATGTGCAATGCATGACCCAGATTTACATGCCAATAAATGGTGAGGCATATTTTGGATACAAGATACATCCCAACACTGAGGATTCGGGATACTTCAAGACTGAGCACGAACATTGTGCCACAATGGTTCAGCGCTTCCATTGTTTTATTATATCTACCTTAACGATCATCCAGATGTATCAGAGCATTTATTCGCACTGTCCATTTATCTTACGCCCGGATACCAAAAGGATTTCGCTCAGATAATATTAAAAATATATATATACGCAAAATAATTGGTGGTTCGTCAGTTAAGTTCCTATTTCATGAACCACACATGTGTTATACGTATCACATCGGTTTCGCCTGTCTGTCTGTTCAACGGCTTCCAGTTCGCTGCCACAAATGTTACGCGACCATTGTACCCCAATTATCCCCAAGCATATACTTACATATCACAGTGCTTTCAATCAGTTTGTGGCAGAGACGCATGAAATACAACTAGTGTTATCAATAACCTCCATAATCGTAATCACGGCATCTACACCTTTCTGGACCTGAGGACGTAGAACAAAGCGCTGAAGCATCGTCGAAAGCCTTGCGGGATAACAGGTCAGTGTATAATAACCTCATGCAATTTATGGACTAGAGGGGTTGCACACGTACACTCCAACCTAGCAAAAACCAGATAGCGCTGCTCTGGTTGTGCTTTCTCCAGAAGAAACAAACGTTTGTGCATTGGTATTAAACCATGTGGCCAATAGAAAAGTTAACCACTGTCGTGGTTCTTTAAAACGTACTCCATAATGAACGCATCCGAAATATGTAAATATATGATTATATCAATCAACCTTCTCAAACCTCTACCGAATCGTTTCCAAAATCAAATCTAAATAAAACAATTCCACATGGCGTACATTCATATTCGCTGAAGATTTGAACGACAAACAGTAAAAGCAGGAATTGATTATATAAGTCTAGCATGCATTGTGAAAGTTTTGTCCGATCTGCATTAGACCACTGGTTGTCTGCCGTAGTTTGAGAATGAGGCTTATCAAACCAAATAAATCAACCATAATTACCCAAGTATTTTCAAACTTTCGACCGCCTGGTATATTGCACACTGAATTAAGAGCCAAGGGAATATTAGATTCGTTTGAGAGCCAACCGCTAACCAACTAGAAGGAGATTGACTACGATGTTCCAGATGCTCGATGCAGACGAACTAATTACTACTGCAGCTGTAAAATAGCTGGACCGACGTATTGCCTTAGATCCTTGGCGCTCCGCTGACACCCATAAATTATGATGATAGAAAATCATGCGTTTCTTTACCGGGTTCCTTCAAAATGTCTCGCAGTGTGTTCACAATTTGTCTCTATATGTATTCGGCAAAGTCTACGTGAAATAACTGTTTCATTCGTTATGCGCCAGGAGAACTTCGTAATACCCACTTTGTATTTTCTTATGTTCCGCGTGATTTTGCAAAATTGATCCATGTTGAACTTC